GGACAAATTGAGCCAATACTCAAAACTGCCGAAGGCCCCAGCGTGAGGACATAGTATGTCCATTCCTCTACTCAGCTGTCAGTCCACAAGCCCGGATGAGGAGAAGAGGAGATTGGGGAGGACAGAAAGGGAGACTTACCTATCATAGCTTCTTCCTTAACCGTGTCATTTTCTGCGATGTCGAGCCCGTTGAAAATGCCAGCTTTTCGGGCCTCAGTGCGCCTGCCGTGAATGGGTTGGAGCAACACGGCAAGACAGGTCCAGATCTCTGTCATGTCGTAGAGCTGACTTTGGGAGAGACCCCCTCCGTTTCCGCGCCCGAACCCTTCCGGAGGTTCGAATAAAACATTGTTCATGCCAAATGGCTCAGTGAGTGACGTGGTCACGATGCTGTTACGGTCTTGGGCCATAACACCACCATTCAGCCAGTCCATCTGTCCTACTATGTCGTTCTCCCGGTTCTTGCCACAGCCAAAGATCCGGCAGAAAGTCCAAATTCGCCAAAAGGCGTCGTCGATTTCTGCCGCTCGGGCATCATCTTTGCCTGTCAGGCCATTGATCGTTTGCTGGCGAAGGAAGGTATTGCACCGGGCCAGGATGATTGATTTGAGCCGAGCGAGCGTATAGATGTCTTGAGCGTAACGTTGGAGATAAAGTGTGGGAGTGTATTCGGGGACAGGGGCATCCGGATCGACCAGAATCTGCCATTCGCTATCCCAGGGAGGGCTCATTTCACGCAATTCCCAGGCTGGAGGGGACATGCGGAAGACAGCAGTCTTCATGAGTTGCAATTCATGCTGTTTGAAAACACGGTAGTACTGCTTGGAGACGACGGCTAGATTGAAGAGATCATCAAGCGAAGAAACTTGCTCCATTATTTTGAGGGCGATATCGTCCGGCAACTGGCCAGTAGTAGGCTCACGGGGTTTGTGGACTGATATGGTAATTTTGGGCTGTGGTGATGACAAGCCTGCATCAAGCTCATAGACCATCCTTTGGGGCAGGCCACCTTCCAATTCGAAAAGCGAGTCTGAGGTGATTAATCGTGCTGATTTGCTCGATGAGACAAAAATCTTCTCCTCCACATTGTTTGTTCGGATTCTAGGTATCGGTCTCTCGGCGACTGGTTTGTTCTCCACAGAGCTGGAGGTGGAAGTGAGGTCTTCGTGGCTGCGCACTTGCTTTGTCTGAAGTCGAGGGAGTTTCAATCGCAATTCTCTTTCGCTGCAAAAGGACGATGGTCTCTGTCTTTGGGAGGGGATTGGCAAGCAGGAAGACTCGGCCACTTCAGCCGTGTCTTCTGGTTCATCATGAATAGTTTCAGGGCGCGGTGGGCGCTGAGGGCGAAAGGACGGAGATTCCACATCTGACTTCAGGCTGGAGCTGCTGAACGATCGGAGATGAAGATTGGTGTACTTGCGACTGAAACCAGGAACCGCAAACGAGAAGGGCCCTTTATTCTTAGTGGATTTCTTCATTGTTTTTCGCAAATCGCGCTCTAACTTTTTGTAAATGTGTTTTTGACTCGAGTTATCGTGTGACTTGTTAGAAGCAATATTTGTAGGAGGTCTTGGAGCTGGTCGAGTAGCAATCATGTCCATATTTCCCCGGCTTATCTGCAAGGGCCCATTGAAGATCTGTGAAGACAACAATTGGGACTCATTGTGGCGTTGCTCGGTGATTCCTGCAAGAACATTCTCCAACTCCTCAGCTGCCTGGGATAGAGTAGGCTGAGAAGGACAAAGTTGTGTGGCCGGACTGGCCGGGGTTGTCGTACGAGGCCGATCGCTAGAGGGGTGCTCGCAAGCCTGGAGTGGATGGGGGCCTCTGTGACGAACTGACAAGGGAGCTAATGCAATCGGGGGCTCCCGAGGGAGGGGCTTGTTTCTCACCTCAGCCAGTGAGGGCCTTTTTGCGACTAGCTTGGAGGCCGAGCCTACTAGCACGGGCGCTGTATCGTCATCAAAAACCCCTGCTGCAGTGGGGGAAATGACTGAAAAGGCATCGGCTGATTTGTAGGGGCCGGCTAGTTCGGAGCCAAGACTTGTCACGGATGATCTTCGACTGTAGCACGAGGAAGTTGTGTCGAAAGTGTCTTCAGAAAAGGACGGAGAATCAGTTCTAGTGCTAGAATCTGAGAAATTCTGTCGGTTTTGATGATCAATCGCCTGCATTTCTGCCAGAAGAGAAAAAGGTGTCACCTTAGGGATTGTGGTACTTATCGGAGACACCAGGGAGAAATGCGATGACAGCTCAGGGAAGAATCGAGCCCAATGAGTCCCTCTTGGAGGTGTTCTGTTCGAGAGTGGTGAGATTGGGAAATCGTCGTCATCTGTCCATTCGTCGCCAGATGGTTGACTTGTAGAGGTATCACACTTTGAGATCGATGTAACGGAGTGTTCTGAATCGGACGGCGGCGCGCCCAACGGGTCTGTCGTGCTCATTTTTAAAGATGGTAGCCTTTTTAACGAGTCCTTTCCACAGCCCAGACCTCTAATCGAGTCAAGCCAGAAGGGCTGTGCTGTGTACTGTTTACCCAATTTCGGAAAATGGATGTACGATATGATCCACAGATTTGGATAGGGCTGGAGATTCGTGCTTAGAGCTGCACAGTTGGATCACCGAGCAGATTCGCCTTTCTCGGTCGTATACATGATCATGCGAGATGGATCCGTGGCTTCGGGACGTTCTTTGTTCTCCTTGACAATGCCACTCCGGTCTATTCCTGGGCCACTGCACTGCTCTTCTGATCAAAAATCGATTCTGAACAAGTCCTTCAATGGCGATGAAAGATTCCAATAATAGTTTCAGGTCTTTTATGAGTCGAGCGGATTTGGAAGCATAGAATGGACGTCCCAGCAGTGGTGTTCCTTTACTTCCCTGGTGATGTCGAAGCCGATAGTGCTCACCTCGAAATTGCGCTATACAGGGAACAAAGAAACGGAGAAGGAATATCTAATGAACTAGTTAGCTTGAATCTGTTGCACATGACGACCAGACTGCTCGGTGGGAAACGAACCAGTCAAGAGGCAGCTATATACGGAGTAGGACAAAGAGGTAGCATCATCATCTGCCAAGGGATGAGTGGAGGGAAAACGACCGGTCAGGATACAGTGTATATAGTACTGAGATGTAGCACTAGTATTGACGATTGCTGCAGCAAGCAATCGAATTCGAGCCCCTGTCACCACGTGCATGGGATGGGGTGGTTTCCAACAGGAACATGTCCATTGTTGGAGTTGGGGGACAAAGACTATTATGGTATATCCAATTTTTGAAACTAATCATTCTTTGCGCAAGCTGCCTATCCTGAGCTACTTCTTGTCGAAGGCTGAGGGCACAAGGTTAACTTTGCAAGGGACGATCCCTCGACAATCCAATGATGATGGAAGATGAAGCTGGTGACACGAGGAATGATGGATGGGGCCAAAAAGAGTCAGGTGTGACCAGTTTGTTACTAGTGGTATTTCCCATTCTTCAGCACTTTTGCAGTTGCACCACTCGAGGAAGTCTCGCTTAGTTGAATTACAATTACCATCCATTCTAATAATATCATTTTGTCCATCAGTGCAAGAAAAATAAAAAGAATGATGCTTGATTCTATTGACGTCCACAATCGTATATGCAAATACAAAAGAGGTATCGATTCCCCGGCGAACATGAAAGAAATCAAGAACACGAAGTGACATTCCGCTTTGTCGTATCGAGTCTTTTTTTGGATCTTCTCGGCCCTTTGTCCTCTCATTCTCTCTCATCTCCAGGAGTGCTTGATTGCTCCGCCATCGGACCAACGCTACTGATCTGCACTTCTGCATCTCCAACTCCAAGACATCAGCCACCGATCCACTCCATCCTTGTTCGTCATAGCATCGGTGATTGACTGATTGCACTCTTATTGGAGTCTCGAGCAACCTGCTGTATTTCAGGAAATCAGCCATTCTCTTCAGGCCACCATAGATACCATGTCTCGCTCGATTCTTAAAGTCACTGGGTCCTGGGGACCACACAGATAAGCCTTGGGCGTTGCTATCCTTATGGCAGTCACTGTGTAGATCCTCCGAGGCCGATCGCTGTCGAACCAGTCGTCAGTTGAGCCTTTTTCGAATACTGGCATTGTCCCCTCCTTTCTACTTCAATAATTACTGTGCCATACCAACCCACCGGTCAGCTCATCTGTCAAGGCACAGGACAGGTTGCTTCCATCTCAGGTGTGGCCACATTCCTTCCGCTTACCCGCATCTTTCTCGCATGACTGAGACTAGACTTGTAGCATGGGCTTCAACTAGAGTCCATCAGCTTGAAGACCGTTAGGATGTAGACATACTGCAGCTGCCAGACCTGTTTCGCTGTTTGTAAGCCCCCACAAATCTGGATATGCCCTGTAGTTGAGGACGTCACTCCGTACAGCCTATATCAACCAAATATCTAAAACCACCAACTGCCCCCAACGCTGTGGATATCCGCGATCGCCAGTGGAACTCCCAAGTTATTGTTGGCGATCAGCTGGATCAAATAACCTTACCTTAGCAGTAAGGCGTTTTCGGGAAGCAAATCTGAACTATTTGTGGTTCGAGTCAAGCTCAACTGCTGAGGTGATCGCGGAAGAGTGCAGGACGTAAGTCTCTGAAGCTCCACATTTTTCGCTGAGGCCTGTCATGGAGATTCGTCTCTGGCCCCTTGTTTGATGATGACTTAAGTGTTCGGGTGGCATATCGCATCAGCTTTAGTATTCCTATTGTGATAAAGATAAGATGGGGGCGGTGGGGGTTGAAGTTTAGACAACAAATGGTAGCAACTATCCTATCTGATCATCCGCGGCCATTGTGTTTCATCTAGATCTCTGTGAGGTCAAGCCTTAAAAGTCGTCTTCCATCTTGAATACCTAACCAACCAAGACCGTTGCTGATATCCCAACAATCCTCAGTCTATTCTTGTCTACAACCAGAGCATGGGGGCCAACAATTGCTGAAATCATGAAACTGCCTTATCTGGGGCCAATATCACCCAGACATCAGACTCAGATAAACCGCCCAGATGACACCAAACAAACTACCAACAAGCAATCGCTTGTCTGCGGGTACAACCGTGAAGTTGAGAATCGACACAAAAGGCCAGAGCTTGAATCCAGCAAGCATGATGGGCCAAAAGTCCTGTCGGCGCATCAGATCTGACCAATACCCTCGCTACGGCTGCAAAGAAAAGAACCCCCCCAGTAGAGTACAGCATTGGACTTACATTCTGAATCTGCGCCTTGATGACCTCGAAATCCCGTCCCCGTAAAAGTCCCATCGTCATGATGAAGGCGACGGTGTTGATTGCGCCGCCGACAGTCTGATCAATCACGACTTTTGCGACGGTATTCTTCACATTCAACTTCTGCTTCCCCTGCTTCGCGCCATTCTTCTCAGTAGTAGACTTGGTGACTGTTGCATCCTCGCTGAAGCCCGGAAGCCTCGACTCCAGGCCCTCAAGCCATATGAACGTCAGCGGCGAGAGTACAAACGCACACGTCGTGAATTGGAACAAGGCCTGGAGGTCAAGTTCGAATGGTGTCTACCTTGTGCGAATCATCGCCATCGCTCGTCAGAATCGGCATCAGTTCATTTCATGTCAATGAAATTGCCCATGAATAAGACAACGTGAGATCAAATCCACATACCTGATCTCTCCACGCTTTGATTCCCTGCGCAAGGAAATTCGAGCCCGCATTCACGAGCGCAGCCTGCAACGTCGCCGTCGCAATCGGGGGTAGAGCCATATCTGGCAATTCACGAGATAGACGAGAAGCTCAAGCGACCGGGTGAATACGAGTTCTTCCTCGTAAATACGGAGTAGAGTAGTGGACTCGGGAAGGAAAGTCAAACAACAGGCTTGGCTCTATTTTTGCATAGATCAGCACTTAGTCTAGTCTTTTTGTCCGAGATACGAGCCCGAGGAAACCTTTGGCTTACTTACTCAGACTACTTTGTCATTCAGAAGCTCGTGTTGCGCCGAGCGACTCCGTTTGAGTTTGGCAGTGATGTCAACTGGCAAGACTTGAGTTGTTCTGGGTCTGGTGAGCTAAAAATACTTTAAAGGTTCAGATGAAGAACTCGTGTTTACCTATTTAGCCGACGGACCGGATGGGTGGACCAAGTGTTATGAACTTATCGACACTTCGACGAAAGTGACTGGGAAGGGAACACGACTACGAGGTTACGAGGAAGCCTTTAAAGCATTTATATTAAAGTCGTACTCGGATTCTGATGTCTTGGGTAATCAAGAGTTGGAGTTGGCAGGGTAGATCAGGGCTCTGGGTGACTGGGTCACTGCGACTTGAAATAGTGGAGAACTAGAGATGCAGAAAAGGGAAAGTTGACACGTCGCGGTACGGAGGAGACTCAAAAGCCACTCAGTGAAATAATGTGTCAATTGACGATGTTGATTGGCGGCTGGTCTTTTGTTGCCAATACTACTACCTCTTTTTTCCCATCACAATCATATGAAAGATGTAAGAACAGAAAAAGGGAAGTGTTCTGACTTCGCATTGGTGCAAGACATCTGCAAGGCAACTATCGCATAATCAGAAAGGGTGACAGACTCGCTATCAGCTGCTTGTCCCAGAGAGCTCGCTCAGTGCTATGCCATTGAAACAATCACCTGCTACTCGACTGATCGCTTCAACGCGGGTGATGGCTACCAGGCCAGACTTGTGAATCTCTCGCCACGACATTCGAGCTCTCTGCAAACTGAGATGAGTCAGTGAAGCTATCTTTGGATCATCCGGCTCGGACTTCGCGAACAAGGGGTTGTTGACTTACGTCGATCGGCCTGCTGGGACTTTGGTGTCATTCGTGGCTGCCTCATCGCAGGATGCACTTCCGTCCCTTGCAGCTTTTCGAGTTTAGTATGCCTTTTCAGCTGCTCGAGAATCATCTTTTGCAAATCTATTATAATCCAAGCACATTAGGGCTGTCCAAAGATGGGCAATGAGAGCCAGGTAGAGACGAACTTGAATCTCCGAGGCGAAAGAGAAAATCCCTGCCGTCTGTTGTCGTTGTGATCACATCTCCCTGGGAGACATCCTCTGCTCCCCTGGCTTGTAACTGATACTGACTCTCCAATTCGGTAACTTGTTCTGTTATCATCTCAATGAGCATATCTGAGACCAATTGAGATTTGACATCGCCGTCCGTATTCTGGAAGCAGTACAGATCGTATCGGATCAACGTCTTTCGCTCAGATGCTGGATGGAAGCTTAGAGAGTACCAATATTTGGTATCCTTGATGGTATGGAACGAGGCATTGGGAAATATCAGAATATCAGAGTCTCCTGCAGCCTTCCCGTCCAAATAATGCTTCATTCTCACGAACAGAGATGAACGCACAAGTGGCGCAAGTTCGGACAATATCGCAGCAGTACCGAACTGCTTCTCAGAGACGACTTGTGCCGCAAATCATCAGAGCTCATCAAGGCGAAAGAAGGCAAGATCGCAGAACTTACCAGCCATTTTCCAATTGAATCCTCCCTCGATAGCCCTACCCCCAATCCAGCGTGACTGAGCCATAACCCCATTACGTTCCACGAAGTCGTTGAGACAATCGGTCTCTAGCGTCTCACCTGACGCATCAGCTTCAAGATTTACAAAGATGAAGCCGCCGGTGCTCTGCTGAACATGAATAGCAAACAGACCATTTTGAGATCGATCGAAACCAGGTACATTGTCGAATCGAGGGGCTTTGATAAGTTCGCCTTTCGTGTTGTAGCTCCAGCCATGGTAGCGACATCCGAGAACGATAGAACTTCCGCACTCTTTATTTGTGATCGTGTAGGCTCTATGGCGACAGACATTGTGGAAGGCTCTGATCTCACCATCTTTGCCCAGGATGAGGAAGATGGGGAAGCCGGCCACTTCGAAGGATCGATAATCTCCAGCTTTTGTGAACTGGCTGCGGTGAGAAAGATACAGCCATGACTGTGATCCCCAAGTGTTAAGAGGCCTGGATTTCGAGCCCGGGGCATGTTTGTTCGGACGTACCTTGCTGAAAACCGCGCGCCGTTCGAGTTTGAAAATATTGTCGCTGCTCAGCCAGTTTTCAGGAAAATCCGATTCCTTAGAGACAACTTGTGTGTCGTTGGCTCTTGAGACCTGAGTGAATGGCTCGGATTGTCCGTTGAATTGCGTCTTCGAGTATATCCCACGGGGCCAGGCTCGACATAGAAAGACGATGGCAGTCAATAGTGCTACAAGTATTGGTGTAGGTGAGATAAGAGCCTCCATGGCGATTCTCTCAGCGGTTTCTTCTATGGTCACCCCCGCAGGGTCGGGAAGCCGTTGAAGCATTTAAGGAATTGCAACATGACAATGACCCTGACTATGATTAACCCCATTCGTTACCTGATGCGCTCGCATGAACAGACTAGACTCGTTGTACGCGTGCGAGTCAACTCCATAAATCAGGCTTGTTGCATATCTTTCCAAATTTGGTGAGCTTTTCCGGTGCACAGTTGTTTCATGCGAGGGTTGCAGCTGAGGTGATCCTAAATGACTACTACTCTGTGTTGAAGTCGAAGGCGAAGTTGGATACGATGAGCAAGACATGTATGAATCTGCACTAGTGCTAACGGATACATATGACCAAATGCCACAGCCATGTCTACTATGCGGCCGCTCCGACTTGCTCGGTATTTATCTCTGATTCTTTCAATCTGGGTGCGGCGAGTTCATGCTTTGCGCTTTCCGCGGCGTGCTGCTGGCACACGAGCTCAAAGACCCTGTCTTGATAAACTATGACGCATTAAAACAGTTTCCCAGATCAAGCTTAGCGGGCGCCAATCTTATACTCACACGAAACACCATTCTCCTGCTCTGGATTCAGGATGCCTTCGCTGTATACGCCCTTTTCCAGATTACCTTGCGCTTTCTCGCAAAGCTCATAGTCCTCCATCGCAACCTGTCGAACGAATCGGTAATACTCCTCAAATTGATTCCCTGACTCCTTGTGGTAATAGTCAAATTCCATCCTGGTCACGCTTGAATCTTCAGTCGGACAGACACGGAACGAGGACATGCCTCCGCCATAGACGTTGAGAGTGCAGTTGGGGAAGAAATACAAGAAGAGTCCGTCGTCTGGTTTCTTGGGATCAGCTATATGCTGGGAGAAGTTCTGGTGATTGTTGACAGTATAGAATGTCGGGGGATAATAGATTGAGAACGAGGGATGTGTGTATTGACAATGTAGGCATTCCTGATAACCGTCGACCCTATTTGGTCTCCGTCAGAGAGACTTTGATAGTCAAATGGAGGAACGGTCTCACATCGTCTTCCAGTTGAAACGTCCTTCATATTTGATGCTGCGCCTGTATGGTAGCTTGGTGAAGTTCACTTTTTGAAGCAATGGCTCGAGACCTGGAAAGTACTCGTCAAAGCTTGGAGCTTCGTCCGACAATGTACTAAAGACAAGACCAGTAGGCGTGACATGAGATCGAAGCGTCCTGCCCTAAAAAACGATGAGTGTCCATGATGGGTCCCTAGGAGCCTGAGCAGAGCGTACTGTCCTCACACTGACGACCTGGATCTCATCCGGACCAGGAAAAGGCGTGTCTCCAGAGCTTCGGAAGGCGAGAATCGACTGCTGGGCGATTTCATACTCCACTTTTTCTCCTATGGTCAGGAATCTTGTCACAGGTCCAAGTAGATACCACGACTATGAGTTTATGAGACATTTCGACCTCTCACACACAGGCAAAGTGATATACCTTGTTGAAGATTGCCCTGCGCTCTAGCTGATATAGCGGCTGGCTGCAATACCACGAAGCCGGAAGTGTACGTGCTAACTCAGGCATTTTGAGCATTTAGCACCTAAATTCTGCCATCCTGGTGTTTCTTCCATCCTTTTAAGTTCCTTATCTCTGGACATCGCAACCAAATTATTGTACTATTGTAGCAGAAGAAAGGAAGATGTCCTATTGGATAGGTATATCGCTTCCTGAAGAGGTTATAAGATCCCTTAAGGTCGCTTGGTATATCAGACAGAAACGTAGGTAGTTCACTTCGATGTGAGCGAATGATCAATGAAGCATGTGCATAGGGAGGGCGCCCTGTCCTGCTGATAGGACCAAAGGGTTGCATGCAGACGAATCACAGTATGTAACATTATTTGATACCAGGATCTCTGCTTGTAGGAGATGGTCAAAGCATAGGTAGAGATAGAGGATGCATAAAGAACAAATTGAACACATTATGGTTCAGTGAAGGGTAAAAGGCAGTCATGAAGGGCCGTAGAAAAAGATGTACGGCATGGACTGACATATCTCTTAAAAACAAAGAGGAGAGACACTCTTCAAATATGTTGTTCTTGAGACAAATTCGGCTCTTCCTTTCTCTGTCGTCGGACTGATGTTGACTGCATCAACAATGACAACCTCTTCATGGTCGAATATTTTGCTGCTGCCTGCTGGGGCGCTTGTATGGCGATGGAGAGTGCCCTTGGAGAAGTCCTCCTTCACAAGCATATTTGCATATCATCATAGTCTCAAAAAAGCTACTCTAAGGATAAAGGAGTGAGGAGTAATTACTATTAAACCATTCCTCCAGTGTTTTGTGCGGTTCAATCATCTTTCAAGCTCAACAAAGAAGACTGAAGAGGGACAATCAATCAATCAGGTGCCCCACGATTACGTCGTGGTCTCATTGTCCGCAACCCAGTCCGACCGATCAGTCATTTGGCTTTGATTTTATCAGCTTCACTCAATAGGAAAACAACAGATCTAATCGCAGTCCTTTCGCATGATGAGCACTTTTCTCTGAAGTATATCTCATCAAGCTCCAAATCCGCCATCAAGAATGGCAGGCTCCGGCACCAGATTCACTCCTCCTCCTTCGCCGCCGTCGCCGACGGCGTCCTTCTACGACGTCAGCGACATCGAGGAGGATGAATACAATAGCATCTCCTCCACATCGGGGAGAGGGGTGAAGCTTTTGTTCTCTAAGAGCAAGGTTTGTCTTTGACAAATCTAACAAATTTTTCGCGTAAAGGACCAAAGCTGACGTTTGCGATGTCTTCCTGAGTATTGCAGGTGTACGTCCATCCGACTCCCTCTTCCAAGGACAATATACCCGGCTTTATCGCTCTGCTCCAACAAAAGCCAGCCCCTACTACGAGCAGCAATATTGCGTCAACAAATACTGCTAAGAGTAGCGCCGACCTCTCTTCCTACCTCCTTGCCTGGGTGCCCGAATCCTCTCTCGGCGATGCCTACAGTACCTATGTCAAAGTCGACCTGTCTGATGACTCTTCACCACCGAAGCAACGATATCTGGTGCCACCGCTCCCGACTACAACCACATATAAAGATACGATAGGTCTATATGCGTTCGCCGTGCCGCTATCCGAAATTTATTCACTGCTAGTGCGACCTCCTAGCTTGGGTTGGTGGTTTGGTAGCCTGGTGATCAACACCCGCGCAGGTGATAGTTTCCCAGCGCTGTTCTTTCACGATAGTGAGTGCGAATCGACGATACTGCAGAAAAAACGAAGGACAAGGGAGAGTTTTGACCCTTTTGGTGAAAATGGCGGCCTATTTTGGGGCGGTGACGAGGTTCTGCGATGGCTTCGGAAATACGTTGAGGTGCAGCGCTCTTCAGTCGACAACAGTGTCTATCTAATCAACCCATCCGAAGAGGACCGCATATCCTTTGCACGGCCATTGAGTGGCTATGGCGGATCTGTGACGAAGCAAGGTCAGGATCCAGCTGCTAGCCCAAATCAACCCGGTGGCAGTGCACAACAAGATGCCGGAATGGATCCCTTCGTGAAAGCACTCAAGGAAACTAGATGGAAGGTTCTTGAGCAGCTCAGCAAGATTACCACATTCACAAGGCGGACGGCGAACGAACTTGCCGACAACACCATGATTCCTCCGCAGGTCCGTCGCCTGATGAAGACTCCCGAGATTCAGACCTTGCAGGATGAGTTTGATAGCGCCAGGCTCTACTTGGCTCGATGGGCCATGAGCATTGCTGAGCAGAGCGAACGAGAAAGATCTCAGCGCATATGGACTGCACGGGATGTTCTGGAAATGGAAAATAGCTCCGTGGGCGATTTTGAAATCTTGGAGCTTGAAACTGGAACAATGTCCATTCAGGAACGACGCCGAACTCTCGCTATGCAGGAATGGGAGGACTTCTTTGATGCCACCACGGGAAGGCTCAATGTTACTGTAGACGAAGTGAAGGAGAGAATTTTCCACGGAGGCCTGGACCCAAATGACGGTGTCAGAAAGGAGGCATGGCTTTTCCTTCTCGGGGTGTACCCTTGGGACAGCAGCCGCGACGAGCGTCAAGCTCTGATGAATTCCAAACGGGATGAATACATCCGGCTGAAGGGTGCTTGGTGGGAGAGAATGGTTGAGGGGTCTTCCACTACCGAGCAATATGAGTACTGGAAAGAGCAGAAGAACCGCATAGGTATGCTTGCTTCACTCGAGGCATTTCTAAATTCAGCTGCTAACATATCGGTATCAGAAAAAGATGTGCACCGTACAGATCGCACGATACCTCTCTTTGCAGGAGAAGATATCCCTCACCCCGATCCAGACTCTCCCTTTGCGGACGTAGGGACGAACGTACATCTAGAGCAGATGAAGGACATGCTTCTCACCTACAACGAATACAATCCTGACCTGGGCTATGTTCAAGGAATGAGTGACCTCTTAGCACCAATTTACGCGGTCATGCAAGACGATGCAGTCGCGTTCTGGGCCTTTGTTGGCTTCATGGACAGAATGGTAAATCCCACATATATCCGTTCCAAATCAACACTGCTTATACAGACCAGGAACGGAATTTCCTTCGCGATCAGTCTGGCATGCGCGCTCAGCTCCTCGCCCTAGATCACCTGGTACAACTCATGGACCCCCAGTTATACCTCCATCTCCAATCCGCCGACAGCACGAACTTCTTTTTCTTCTTCCGGATGCTTCTAGTCTGGTACAAGCGCGAGTTCGAATGGGTGGACGTCCTACGTCTCTGGGAAACATTGTGGACCGACTATTTCTCCAGCAGCTTCCACCTCTTCGTCGCGTTAGCAATCCTAGAAAAACACCGCGACGTAATTATGGACCACCTCAAACATTTTGATGAGGTCCTCAAGTACAGTAAGCACATAGCCTCTACCCCAACTCACTGCAACAGCCTAATTAATCAACCTAAAGTAAACGAGCTCTCGAACACAATGGACCTTGTCCACCTCCTCACCCGCGCAGAATCCCTTTTCCGTCGCTTCGAACGCACAGTTCAAGCAATAGATAAGAAGAATATCTTCCCCGCTCCATCAACCCATC